GTGTGTAATTGCATACATATAATTCTATTAGAGTTAAGATGCAAAATGTGTATACTTTGTTCAAGTTACTACCGGAGACCGTTTCCATGACACAATAGTCGTAGACCGAAATGCGCGTAAATTTGCACAAATTTTTATCATATACATCACATCTGAGCTTCGTTGGATCTCAAGGCTGAAGTCGTTAGTCGTTAGCGCAACGAAGCCATAAAATTGTCGTAAGTGTTACGTGTTTATCATGCATCAACGCCAATAAATAAATCACTTTAGACAATAACTATACGTATAAATGTCAATGACAATATTCTCATATCGTTATTCGAAAATAGAAAACTAGAAATAAGTAATAAAAGTAAACAATAGGAGAAATAAGTTGACGATTTTCATCAATAAAAAGCTCTCTCTATAAATCTTGAGTATATTACATTTTGTACGAATGATATCTTTTTGACGAATATTCCACAAACTATGCATCGTTTAGTGTAGAAAAGTGCAAACTTATCACACATCGGCTGAAGGCAATTTAGGTATGTGAAGCCAAAGATTCAGACCAAGCAAAAAAAAAAAAATGGGCACGCACGAACGATCACAAATTAATATCAATAAACGAGCATTAAATGTTTATTTTAAAACATTTCTTTAAAAATAATCCTTTCATATAAAATTTTCCATGTGTGTGTGTGTGTGTGTGTGTGTGTAACGCATTATTTTTATAAAATTATTATTTAAATAAAATTTCTTATTCTTTTATAAATTTATATTGTATACTTTATATTTTAGGTGCATAAATTTTGTATTCTATTTTAAAAGCGGACAAACACATTATGTAGTAAAGTTTATTCGAGAAGAAATATCTCGAGAGAGATGGACAGATACGAATGTCAAGTGATTCACGCGAGTTTCGCCGAGTATTTGATCGAAAATAGAGGAAAATGAGAAAAAAAGCGCAATGCACGATACTATAATAGATATTCGAAAATTGATAAGAGACTCGCGTGCATGTCTTTCATCTCCCATACCTCCTTTGCAGGGTATTCGATGAGTCGAGTGCTGGGCACGATAGCCGGTGATCATCTCATAGTCACCGGAATCGCGTCTGAGCGGAAACGTGGTTTCGAGGATATGGTCGCAGGGCTCCATGAGCATCAAGATACCCTTGACCTTCTTCTTGCGATCTTCGATGGGTACGCGCGATCGTTTGTTGATGTCCTCGACCAACTTGTCTTCGATGATTTGGCAGGCGCGATGAAAAAAATATTCCACCATATCGAAGAACCTAGGGTTCGGTGCTTCAGGCACGTCCTTGAGACGGTCTGGAATTTGGTGATCGGCATATCCACGACGGGCTGCCGTTTGAACGGCAGCCAGCGCAGCGCGCGCCAGCACGCTCTGCACGACGTCATTGCCCGGTGCTTGCTTCAGGGCGATTGATGATCGCGTAAGACTCCGTATGTGAAACATCTCTGCTCCGCGCGATTATTTATCACAACGACGATAATTAACTAATCTGACCTGATCTGACGCGACCCGATGTGAAACGCGAAATCCGATTGTGATCCTCCTTCTCTCGCTGATTACGATTACGACCACGACCCGTCCACTCATCGACCTGCGACCTGGACATGCGTCGACCGACTGCGCGTGACGCGTGATGTGAGATGTGACGCGTGACTCCTCCTTAGAACATATATAAATGGAAGGGGAATAGCAGGCTGAAAAGTGTCGAAGGAAGTGAGAAAAAAACAAGAGAGAGGCAACTATGATTTTCTTTCTTACTTCCTTCCGACATGTTTTTCTATCGGGAAACAAAGGCATTCCCCTTCCATTTATATATGTTCTAAGGACTCCTCGCGGCCGTTTTAACCATAAACTATGATCACATTTATACGTCACCCTTAGGCCGGATTCACACCTTGGCAGAAAAGCAGAAAGCAGAAAAGCAGAGGCCAATCAGAACTCGCGCTGAAAAAGCAAAATGTACTGCTTATTTTCAGCGCGAGTTCTGATTGGCTTCTGCTTTTCTAGCACAAGTTCTGATTGGCTTCTGCTTTTTTGCTTTCTGCTTTTCTGCCAAGGTGTGAATCCGGCCTTAATCGGGTTGATACATCCATAGTTCTAAAATTGGCCAATCACAATCGTTCCATTTTTCAGCCAAGAAATCTTTATCCCTTTCATCTTGATTGGCCAATTGCATCAGGCAATCTTGAATAAAGCCGTAATGCCCGTATCAGACTACACATTGAAGATTGAGATTCAAGATTCAAGATTGAAATTTGACCAATCAGAATAAAGAAATTTTATTCCTTTTTGTTCTGATTAGTTAAATTCCAATCTTTAATCTTCAATCTTCAATTTTCAATGCGTAGTTTGATACGGGCTTGATATCGTTTTCGAATGAACGGGTTAACCCAACCCGGTTCAATTAATCACTATATTTTACTATGAATTCAAGCCTTTTATTAGCAGAGACGATGCAATGACGTCATTAATCGCTCTGACAGCGATTTAACCATAGACATATAGAATGGACTGAGCGTTGCGATAGACAAACGCGCGCTTGCTGTAGAAAGAGAGATACTACATGGGAAGTCTATTTTGTCTCTTTTCCTAGCATCTCATTGGTGATTTTGTCTCCCTCCATATAGAAAATTACCAATGAGATGCTAGGAAAAGAGACAAACATACGCCTCCCATATAGTACCTCTCTTTCTACAGCGTGCGCGCGTTTGTTTATCTCGCAATATTCGATCCAGTCTATATATCTATGGATTTAACCTGCTACCTGGGTACCGATCATGTAATTTTTTCCCTAGGGCGAAAACGTGAAAAGTGAAAAATATTAGCATTGAAATCAATGGCAAAATTTTTCACTTTTTATTTTTCCGCCCTAGGGGAAAAGTTACATGATCGATACCCTGCTACATTCAAAAACGCTATATGGTTCGCACCCTTAGGTCGATATTACATTTGTCGTACGACAAACTTTTTAAGCGCATTGATTAGCTAATTTCTAGAGACTCAAGGAAGTTTCTATTTTGTGGCCAATCAATATGCTTAAAAAGTTTGTCATACGACAAATGTAATATCGGCCTTAAGTCCGAATCACACTAGCGGCTCGCGGCTGCGATTGCGATTGCCTTAAGCCCGTATCAGACTACGCATTGAAGATTGTGATTAAAGATTCAAGATTGAAATTTGACCAATCAGAATAAAGAAATTTTAGTCCCTTTTGTTCTGATTAGTCAAATTCCAATCTTTAATCTTCAATCTTCAATTTTCAATGCGTAGTCTGATACGGGCTTTAGCCAATTAGAAAGCACCAATTGCAAGTATGATTGGAGCGTAGCAAATCACAATCACAAACGCAATCGCAATCGCAGCCGCGAGCCGCTAGTGTGATTCGGGCTTTACATGTCAAATGGACCAGTCAGGGCGAAGAAGCTTATATTTCGTTTCGAAAATATCGTCAAGTGGAGCACATTTGCGCAAGCGCAAGAACGCCATTATGGAAAGAGGCCACCAATTTCGAGCTTCAATTAGTTTATTGTGCTAAATGCGAGCTAGCAAAATTTTCTTTTTTTTTTTTTAATTATGTTTGAAAATGACGATTGGATTTTTGAAGTGAGTTTTTTATTTGCATGATTATATATTATAATTTATTCGATTATTAATTTATCCAATGTTTTTTTATGTATATTGTAATTTTATCAATACGCCGGAACACATTCGCGGTAGAATATTTCGATGTTATTTGCATATATAATTGATATATAAAATAAAATATAACTTATACAATACATATGTGTATATATATTCGGTATACAATTTCTAGGATACGTTTGACATTGATGAGAAAACAATACAGTCCCATTCTCGATGTCAAAACGAAGAAGAAGAAGCATCATCTGTGAAACGGCGTAAAGTGGACAACTGCAAAGTTTTGTTTTTGCCGACGGATAATACTCTTAATTCAAATGTGAATATTGCAACAGAGGACAGCAATTTCTCTCGTAACAATAAAAGCAATGTATCACGAGGAGATCTATTACTAGGAATCTTTCAAGAAAATACTTCTCAAAAGATATTCAATCTTGAAAAAGAGATAAGTAATCCATTAAATGATATACAAAAAGAAACGCAGGATTTGTCATTATGTAAAACGAATACGTTGCACTATAAGAAGTCTAAAGAAAAGAATCGTACTGAGTCTGTAAATAAAATAAAACTTGGTAAAGAAGTAAAGTTGATTAGAATATTTCCTGGGCCAGCTGGCTTAGTACCAGATGTTAAAAACGATAATATTCCTGTTATATCATATCTAAATAGAGTGAAAGAATTAGAAAATAAAACAGCAATCAAACGTATTGAGATTAAGTCACAGGATGAGAAAAATTCATTTGGAGAAAAAGCTTGGAAATTTTTACTTGATGATGTGCCGGATAATTTTTTTGAGGAGTATAGAATTTCTATTATTAAGAAGAAGGCGAATGCTAACCATTGCAATAGTATGAAAGTGAAATTTTTGGCAGGCGTATTAGATTATATAGATCATAGTCATGATGATCCATTTATTATATTAAAAGACTCAACAGATAGTATAGAAGGCACCATTCATCGTGATATTCTATTAAAATATCCTGGTATATTAGAGCCAAATGTACTTATTCTTTTACATGACGTAGGTTTGTTAAAAACTACAACATACGTAATAACAAATAAATATCATATTCTAGTATCCCAAGTAAACTTACTAGCCATATATTCCGATAAAGGTCGTATTGTAAGTGCATCTCATATGGAAAATATTTTATCAAATATTGAATTAAATAGAGATTATTCTATGTCAGTTTCAAAGCGATACATTTCCAAATTGCAAGGGATATATGAAAATTGTGATATGATATCGTCGCAAACTAATTTTTCCATTAATAATAAATCAATCAAGAATTGCGAATCTACATTGATAAACGATCCGATATTACATGAATCGGATATTGAAAATCGCAAAGATGAAATATTTGAAAGACCTAACTATTCGAAAAGTATGAATAATTTAGATATGAATAATATTTTCTTAACTAGTGACTGCGAATTTATAACTTTGAAGGAGCAGAATTGCCTTAATTCTGATAGTATTTCGCACAATAACAAAATCCCGCAATGCGAATTACAAGCGCGAAATATGAATCATTTGGAAAATGCGAGAAAAGAATCAATAATAAATTCTCAAGATAAAATAAGAGAGGAATATTTATCGCAAAGTTTGCAGAAATGCGTCGCGGATGTAACAATTTTTAATGCACATTACTCGCATGAAAGTTGTTTTTCATCTTACGATGGTATAGCGCAACAAGCGCATAAAAATTCAAATTTGAATATAAAATCTACACTGCCGGGGATAAAGCGTAACTCGGATAATTCGAGAATCCTGGTAAGCTACTTTACTGATGCTAACGAATACGATTCAGACGACGAGATCTTGTCACAGTTGGATGTAGATAACGTCTGTAGTGATTCTAAGAAAAAGTGCTGAAGGGAAATGTATTTCTATGTAAAAATACACAGCCCTTATACTGTATGTTACAGCAATATTACAATTGAAATTAGATTGATATGATAGATGGGTACAATTAGATTTAAATGAATGCAACATTAATGTAACTATTGTATAAGAAACATTTACGCGCGATGCGTTACTATATATTATGTTATATGCAATTGCAAAATAATTGATTTGACTTTATTGTTGAATATATGTATACTGTAATATGAATATACGATAGATTTTTTTTTTATTCCTAAATTAGAGAGTTATTGTAGGTAAAGCTATTTGTAAAATCATATTTATAATCTTATCTTTCACTTTGTAGAACATTATTTCATTTGTCGTGTTGTATAATTAACGTACGATTTATTCGGTTGTACGCAATAGTAAAAGAGGGGACGTCTCAATACTATGTAATATAATTTTACAAAGTTAAAATAGTACAAAGGAAAAATAGAGACACACAACATTGAGACATACTGTAATGTAAATATACGATAAACGTTTATATTTTTAAGTGTTAAAGTTATTGCAGATAAAACACATATTTGCAAAATCATATTTATGATCTTATTTTTCTCATTTGACTGTCATAATATATTATTATATTAGTTGTGTGTGTCACAAAACTAACGACAACTGAAATATGCTGATTTCACCAGTTAAACACGCAATAAAAAAAAAACGTCGATTATGCATAATATCGAATTTTACAATATTTTATGTACAAGAGATACACGATATTTTACATATTTTAATGTAAATATATGTTAGACATTTTTATACTTTTAAATGTTAGAACTATTGCAGGTAAAATTATTTGTAAAATTGTACATATTTATCATCTTATCTCTCTCTCTCTCTACACACATATACACATATTTGGGTTTATAAACCATTATTTTATTAGTTGTGTGGTAAAAATTAGCAATAACCGAATTTTCTGTGGAGTTAGATCTGATTGATAAAATATAGGCAGTAAGAGAATATCTCAATATATATTTATATATATGAATTTAAATACATGTCGAAACACACAGGTATTCGAAATGGATATACATGTATGTCTTGATATGCTCGGTATATGTATATATATAATGTCTTATACATATGTCTTCTCTTGTAACGCATTGTCACGCAATTGTTGTAAAATTATATTACACATATGATTCATATTCATTCTTTTATCACGTGTTGATATCAATTGAATTGTATAGAGAGTTATCTCAGGATTTGCGACATGACTAATGGAATAATATTTTATGAACTCACATATGAAAGATAAGATCGTTAAAATACGATTTTATGATCTTATCTTTCGTGCAATGAACTTTACTTGTGATAACTTTAAATTAAGAATACATAAATATCTATTTTATATAGTGTAGGTATAGTTCATAAATTTTTGTTGAAAATATAAAGCGTACGCAATTGCATAATTGCGTAATGGTGTGGATACATCAAGAGTGGATGTGTAATATATACTGTTGCGCCCATTAAATTCTAACGGTGGATCGTAATCGATAAAGTACTTGCAGTTACAATAATTGCTTTGTCTATGATTAAGCAAAGTGGGAGGAATAAAAGATGATACGAAATTTATAGCCCCTTTTCATTTGGAAAAATTAATTGATTCGTCGCGCGTTGTCTTGACTTGTCTACGTAATTTCCATTACTGTTTTATAACTTGGACATATTATGGTTTATAATGTTTCTACAGTTAGAAATTTTTTTTTTCCCAGTCGATTATCCGATGGTACGTCACAAGGTCGATCCAATGGATACACATTGATGCACATGCTAACTCTTGATCTTGTCTTTGCGTAGAGCTATTATTTTTCTTTTTATATAATACCGAAGTGACACAAGAAAATTATTAGATGCGCATAAAAAGTGATTACACGGAAAAAGATAAGTTTTTAATCGAATAAATTCTTATAAAAAATAAAAAAAAAAAACCAATACGCGCAAGTCAATGAGGATTTATCGCGTTATCATTGCTACATTTTTAGTGACAGTGATACTGCATGTATGTCATTATATAAAAATATAAATACATTTATTTCAATAGAAAGATAGAGGTATTAAATGAGGCACCAAGACACGGGTTTATTGTAGCGAGAATATGTACCAATAAATGGATTAAGACTGTCAATGTCATAATGTAGGATAAAAGATCACTTTACGAGATTATGACCAGCAAAACAATAACTTGCTTTCGTTCGCGCGCATTGGGGAGGATTATCATGATCTCGTATGTTATTTATTTCCATTTTCTTTTTGCAACATGCATATATGTATATCAATATGTCACCAATACGCGCAAGTCAATGAGGATTTATCGCGTTATCATTGCTACATTTTTAGTGACAGTGATACTGCATGTATGTCATTATATAAAAATATAAATACATTTATTTCAATAGAAAGATAGAGGTATTAAATGAGGCACCAAGACACGGGTTTATTGTAGCGAGAATATGTACCAATAAATGGATTAAGACTGTCAATGTCATAATGTAGGATAAAAGATCACTTTACGAGATTATGACCAGCAAAACAATAACTTGCTTTCGTTCGCGCGCATTGGGGAGGATTATCATGATCTCGTATGTTATTTATTTCCATTTTCTTTTTGCAACATGCATATATGTATATCAATATGTCAAAATGTTATATATTGTTATTTTCAAATATTTAACGATATTCATGGAAAAGATTCATCGGATATTGACTTTTTAGCACACAATGTAAAACATTCAATTTTAACATTGTTACAATTAGGCTTTTAAATACACGCACATATTTTGTGTGTCACATATGTGCGTGTATTTAAAAGCCTAATCGTGACACACATATGTGTGTGCGCGCGTGCGTGTGAATGGCTAAGATAAATAAAATACTTCTTGCATCTTATTCACAAGCAAATGCGCACGCGCACGACACATATACAAACCTACACACACACACACATATGTGATAACTTTAATGAGAAAGAAATAATATGCGAATAGTATTTTTTTCAGCAATTCGAAATATCAACGATATCTCCCTCAGCATTATCACGTGCATTTCATCGTGATACGTCCTTGCGCAAGCAATGCCAATTTTTCATTCGAAAATAAGGTCATTTAACACGCTTGGTTTCTTTTCGGTATGCGCTTCCAATTTATGCTATCTATTCGCTTAGTTTACGTAGAACATTAACAACGTAACTCGTAATCTTCTTTTTAAAAAAAGACGTCAAATCCACACGAATCTATCCAAAAATTAGTAGAAATAATAAATATTAATTTAAAATGTATATTTTTTATAATATACATTTTTCTAAATGTATGTTTTATTGATTAAATTTATTTTTTTTTTCATACAAAAAGTAACGATATCAGAAAATCGTGTCAGTTAAAAATAAAATTATGCACACTATAGAATTTAATTCTTTTATTATACAATTTTTATGCTTTGAGAAATTCTTTATCGGAAAACATATATCTTGTGGCTTCTATAATTATATTAAAATATATATACATACACACGAATATATTCGAGTAAAATATACAATCATATTACATATACTTTATTAGACAAAACAATTTTAATATTAAAACATGGTATATATAAATTATTAATTATAAAATAAAAGAATCAAGTTCTACAGTATGCATAATTTTATTTTTAATTGGTGCAATTTGTTGATATTTTAGTCTATAATATATCTTCTGATATCGTATTTACTTTGATATTGTACTTTTGTAGGAAAAAATGGCGGCTCGGTATAAATACATGGTTTGTCTCGCTATTGTCGCACATGACTTGGCGCGAGAGAGGCACTAATACCGTATCTCTTAATTCATTTTACAATCTTTGTGTAACATTGATTATAAATGTGATACTTTGGTCTCAGCACTCGTCTATAACTATCTACAAATTTTATCGTGTAATGCAAAATATATGAATGCATAATGAATGCATATTATTTTATGTATGTTTATTATTCAATATATATATTATTATTAATACGGCTATCAACCGCAACGTTGATCAACTGCAATCACACAAAAGTTTGGTTGACAGAATAAAAATTATTTGTATTTTGTGGTATATATATTTATAATTTTTAAATTACTTTTATCGTTATATTATTATATACTTCACATACCATAAAAGAATTGATTCCAAAAATATAGCAGTCGACGCGGAAATTATGTTTTGTAGTACTTTCATTCACACACATATTCAACTATATTAAATAACTTTTAAAACCGTCTCGGAGTAATTCGATAATATTGATATCTATGCCTATCTCGATACTTTTTTTCGTTTAAAAAAATGTAAAATTAATCGGGATCACTCGTTAAACTATTAGCTATCGCGTTTAATGGCTCATTTGATATCATACCGTCTCTCTTATTGGATTTCGATTATCCTGTTTTGTAATTCCATTATCGGAATCGTGACCATTCCATTATTAAATATTTGTTGCGAAAGTTTGGCGAAAGTTAAAAGACGAAGAAAGAAGGGGTGAGTGGTCGCACTTTATCCATGAGATTTAGAGCGGGGGAGATTCGAGCTAACAACGTCAGCAAAACATGTGTCGCGCGCACAGCTCCACTTCGTTGGTCGACGTAAAATGTGACAGTGCAGTTTGATGCGCTTGATACGCAGGACCAGCGGTACAACAACGAAGAAAAAAAACGTATGTTAAAAAGTTTATTAACGGACCAGTCGTAATTTATTTACTTTTAATACGATAAACACCGTTGTTATTTGTTGTAAAATTTACGAACGCTAAACGAATGCCAGCCACAGACGCATCCAAAGTTCACTCGCTGACCTTGTGCCGCAAACGATAACGAAGCGCTCTCGTTGCTTCCGCCTTGCAATTCCATCGTTGATTGCTCAAATTTCAAGCAATTTCAACGACAGACAAATCGTTCTGTAAATCTGTGCCGTGTTGGCTTCGCCTGCATTTGACAAAGAACGCGCGAGTACTTATGCGCGGTTTACCTGTGTTTTCAATACTTTAACACGCGCGACCTGATACCATACAAAATTTTGAAAATTTTGTGAACTGAAAATTTGGCGAATTGATTTGAATCGGCAACGCATTTCGCAAATGAAAGTGCGCGTGCGCGTTTCTCGAAATCGCCGACTCTTGTCCGTGCGCGAAATCGCCTGCTCTTGCCACCGCCAAGGAAAGGGAAAAGCGTCAAAGAAACTGGAAAATATTCGAAAAGCATCGCATTTGTACGTATTTCGATGTTATTATTATTATTATTACTTTTATTATTGTATTTGCTTCGATAACACGTAATATATATAATTATATAGTAATATGAGATAATAATAATAGTAACAAAATTATTATTATTATTATTTATACCATTGTATGTGAGACAGCTAGATCAAAGGATAAACAAAAAATTATTTCGTATTACGAAGAATGTTATGAAAATTTCGAGTGTGTCGCTTTTTGTATCTCGGTATTCGAAACATATGTGCTTGTAGATAAATGGTTAAACAAAAAAGTTAATAAATCTATACGTTATTA